CCATTTCTCTCTTCGTTATGCATAGCAGCACAGTGAATGCAGCAGCTCTTTGGGTCTGTGTGCAAATCTCACAGAATTCAGTTCCCAGTGGGACCTAAGGGCAACTGGAGATTTTTCTGCATTGGGGTGAGGGGGTATGCTCATTCGTTTAGTGACTGTTTGAAGTTAAAACGGCACTGAAAAAAGTGACTTATCACAGCTTTTCACATGACCATTGCAGCATCCCCATGATCACATAATCAAAATTCAGATGCTTGGCAACTGGCATGTATTTATGACAGTTGCAGTGTCCCGGGGTCCTGTGATGACATTTTGTGACCTATTGATAAGCAAAGTCATTGAGAAAGCCAGATTCAGCTAACAACCATGTTACTAGCTTAACAACTGCAGCAATTCACTTAATAATTGTGGCAAGAAGGGTTGTAAAATGAGGCAAAATTCTCTTAACAATTCCCATTACTTAGCAATGAGTTCAATTGTGGTCGTACATTGAGGACAACCTGTATATGAAGGCTAAAGGGATTTGCATATCACCTAAGGGGAAGTGGGACAATAAGATTGTAATTATCTTTTAAATAAAGGTTGGAAGTTGATCACATGTTTAACTTTAATCTTTTCTTTCTTTTTCATTTCCTATACTTTCTATTTCTTTCTTTCTTTTCTTTCAATTTGTCTTTTATTCTATAAAAAATATTTTATTCTATGTGAATAGAAAGTGAATTTTAAAAAGTTGAACTTAATCAAGAAAAATATATTTCTGAAGTAGTTATAGAAGCATGATAAAAGTTTACCATGGCTTATGGGGAAAAGCATGTGTCACTTACTCATAGGCTCCTGCATATCCAGCAAAGGGATCACTCCAGTCACAGGTTCCGGTCTTACAAGCATGGCACATGTTTGATCCACCTTTGAGACCTGGGACACAACCGGATCCAAAGAAAACTTCTACAGCTGTAAAAAGAAATCAGATGGGTAAGTCTTTGGCAATCTTTTATTAGTACGATAAAGGTAGTAGGTCATTTATATTATTAAATTGCATTCTTCAAATTTGGTTCAGAATTGGATCGACCATACTGTGCCTCACATGGCATGCTTGAAGTCTTATTATATTCAAGGGTGACAGGGGCATCTTTTCCTTCAAAGGAAGTAGTTGGTAAACAATCTCAAATAGGAAGATTCCAGTTTCCCCTGTGATGTCAAAGATTTGCTGGATCATAAATCTCACACATATGTTACTTATGGACAGCAATTGCATACCATTTGAGAAAGTATGGTCCTGTTAGAAATAAGTAAATTCAAAAATAAAATGGTATATAAGATGCTTCAAGGTTTCACAAATGGGGGTTGGACTAGATGACCTTGTGGGGTACTTTCCAATTCTATTAATCTGTAAACAGATTATTATTCTATTAATCTGTTATCAAATGAAATATATCTCCCTGTATATACATGCTTTGCTTTTATACTTTTGATATGCTCCATTGTTAAGCCTTTTTATATTTTTATCTTATGTATATGCCTTTTATATTATTATTATTATGTTCAAGGGGGGTGTTGTTATAATCTCTTTGGAAAAATGGTAGAATATGATGATCTTAGAAAGAGGCCCTGATGAGGGGATGCTACATTCCTTAACGCTAAGGAAAGATGCCACGTGGGCAGCCAAAGTATGAGGTACGGAGGGGAACTTGGGTGACGAGATGAAACTGTATATAAAGTATGTTTTGAAGTTCTAAAGGTGTGGCTTTTGATTTGAACCTGTTTCTTGAGGTTCTAAAGACCAGCGGCGCTTTGCAAACCGTCTAATATTTCTTTTTAATAAACCCTTTTTGTTTTCAACGGTTCAAGTTTTTTTTGTTGGCTTTGAGTTATTTCCAGCAGTCCCTACAAGGTTGTACAAGTAGATACACTCCTTAGATCCTGCTCCATGACTACATAAGGCAATAAAATATAAGGCAATAAAATATTGTTTTATATATGGAACATTTTATAGTAGCTGTGTATATATGAAAATAATAGATGGAGAAGCAAAGGGGAAAAAATAAAAGATGAAGAAATATTCCTATTCTTAAACACACATACGCATCACACAATTTTCTTTTGGAGTAAGCAACTTGTGTAGAGTACAAAAAAGGGGGTAATAAATAATATACCAAAGATATCAAATACATAACATAAAGAAAAAGAAATGTATGTAAAACCATTTTATATTCATACCATTCATTGAACCTTTCCATATAACATTTATAGCCTTGCAAACTACTCTTTCTTATCACGCTCATCACTACTTCATGTGCTGATTTTTATTTTGTGGAATTCGAAAGATTATACAAAAACCTTCTACTTCATGATACCACTTATGATAATTCACGTGTAAGGAATACTTTTAAAATGTTTTAATGGCACTAGACTTATTCTCTCATAACTTGACTATCCTTTTCTGCTTTGCTCTGCTCTGCTCTTCAGAGTGTGATCATTTGCCTTTATTTATTACCATTTCTGCATTCCCAGTTCCTCCTGCAGTTTTATTTATTTCAGACAATTCTGTCCAGGATAAAGAATGTCTTAATGGAAGTATTGCCCTTCTGAGAAGCTTTTTCTAATTTCATAAATTTAAGCATTATGCTTTCTCTAAAAAATTTTCCATTATGAATACAGCTGGTAAATCTCTGATGAATTGTTTAAAAAAAGGACTAGTTTGACCAGGAATACAGGCTTATATATAAGCTTGCAAAAACTTCAAACTAGAGTTAAAAGAAATAGAACTGAAACTTCAGTTCCATTTTTTATATAATTCTATTCTCAATATGAACATTTGCTAAAAGCCAAAAAAACCTCTCTGTTATTACAAGAATAAAAATGTATTTCCACATTGTGCCAAAAAAAAAAAACCCCAGAAGGTTTTGATATACTACAGTTGCCCATATTCCACACTGAGATAGTATTTTATTCTTTCTTGGCCATCTACAATATTCCCAACATGAATTAATCCAAAATACACACTACCTAAATTAGTTTTATTTCCAGAATGGTTTTGGCGAGAATGGGAAAGGAAATGTGTGTAGGATGTATTCTCCACCTTGAGTTATTTATAAAAATAATAAAGATGGAATACTAATAAATAAAAATAAATAAATATGGATAGAGATAGACAAATAGAGCTATCAAGATTTTGCTTACCCTTTTCTATAGGTCCTGAGTCTGTTCCACTCCACTGTATCAAATTCTTAGACACAAGAGTTCCTATTGGGATCAACCAGCCTGCAGATCTTTTAAAACCAGTGTGACAAGATCTGCTCCCTCTGAGTCCTTCAAGTGATGAAATAGTTCCTTTCTTTGTAACAACAATGGCATGATAACTAGTAGTTACTGATAAGGAGAGAAGGACAAATCAAATATAGGTTATAACTATAGTCTCTATTTATTTCCAACAAAATTGTTTTAGAAACAATTTGTAGCAAAGTGAACAAACTTAATTATCATATAGTATCCTTATACTATAGAACAGGGGTGTCAAATTCAAGGGCTGGGGCTGGATCTGGCCCATGGGGTGCTTAGATCTGGCCTGTGGGGCTACCCTGGAAACAGAGAAGAACTGGCCCACGGTGCCCCTGCCAGTGAAAATGGAGCTCCATTTTCTTTGACAGAAGGTTGCAGGAAACTGTCATAGCTAAAAATGGAGCTCGGGAGCCCATTTTCACTGGCAAAGTATTCAGGCCACCACAGGCACCCCCAACATGAGTGACATCAAGTGGCCACACCCTCTTGGCCTTGTCCCCCCCCCCCAGATCACACACTACCCTGATGCATCCCTCAATGAACTTTAGTTTGACACCCTTGCGACAGAGGAAACAGCTGGCTATATTAAGGATATAAAATATAAATATATATAAAAAATATAAAATATAAATATATATAATATAAAATATTATATATATATATGTGAACTTGCCAATGTACTTCTATTATAATTGCTTGTAATGTTAACAGGCTGAAACTATTTGTATAAATGAATTAAATAAATTAAAGATGCAAGCACTATGACTGTATTAAAGTGAAATTGATTAATGTAAAACACAGAGACTGTATCTTGAAAAGGAGGAAAGACACACTCTCTCTTTTGATCAGCCCAAAGTACTTCACCAGCTGGGCCTCTGTTAATTGTGATCCAAAGAAAATATCAGGCCACCATCATAACTAAAGGAGAGGAAGGAGTTGAAATTCTGAAAGGGGATTTCTAAAACTGGTTTGGTTTCCAGAAGTTTATGTGCAGGAGTCCGGCAGCCTAAGGCTGTAGAGCAGAAAACCCTAAGCATGTGAAATTATCCTAGCACTGCATCCTTGAATCACAAATCCAAAACTCATCTTAAATATAACTGGGGCCTGCAGGAGTCAATACCAAGAAAGGGCATTGCAGTGTTTCCAGTGGTAGGATTCAAATTCTTTTGCTATGGGTTCTGTGGGCATAGCTTGGTGGGCGTGGCATGGGAAGGATACTGTAAAATCTCAAGTCAGAGGTGGTATTTGCCAGTTCTCCAAACTACTCAAAATTTCTGCTGCTGTTTCTCCAGAACTGGTCAGAACCTGCTGAATACCACCTCTTGAGTGTTTCTCATTTGGACAACTTGAAAATATATGGGCTTCAACTCTCAAAATTCCTAGGCCTATCTGGAGGATTCTAGGAATTAAGCAAGTTGTCAAGTTTGACTGGACTGGAACACAAACCTGGCATGCAGCAAACCCCAAAATCCTTCATGGCTTCATTTGAGTGAATTTCCAAGTGGATTCTGCATGGTGAGCTATAGCAACCCACATATCTAGTTGAATTCATATTAGCAACTTTCTCTTTATTTTGTTATCAAATCCGTAAGGCCACTTATAGATTCTACTAAACTGTGGTTGGCAAATACTAGCAATATAACAGTAAAAATCCTCTTGTTAAAAACACAAAACTTCTATGCTGTATGTCTACTCCAGATTTCCCAAATTAATAGCCTGGCCCAAAATCTGGGGAAGATCCAGGTTTTCGTGGCTTTCTGAAAGGCAATATGGTTGGAGTTATCCATACTCTGGGCAGGTCCAATGACAGAGAAGGGCCCATATCATCTCTTCTCCCAATGAGCAACCATTGAATGAATTATGCAACCTCTTTAAATTTTCAGATAAATCTTATTCAAATTCACCTCCTGAGCCCTTTGAATGAAGTTCAGCTACAACAGGCTTTAGATAATAAGGGTTCAAGCTTGCTTCTAAAATAAGACCAGCATCTAAAGTGATGGCATCTGCTTCTGAGTCCTAAAAAAAATAAAAGTAGGATAATAAGGAGAAAATATTTCTTTGGCATAAATATATATCATGAATGTATGACAGTTATATCTTCTTCTTTCTTACTAGATCTGGAAATTAACATGACTTCCTTTTCTTTCACTACTTGTTTGCCATGAAGAGTGATAATGCTATTTTGAACAGAGCACTGGGCCTCTAGGTCAGTTGATAGTTTCATGGGATTCTTAAGCTGACTTCTGTCCAAAGTCAGGGACATCCACAGAGGAGATCAAGAAAATTAAAATTAAGCTACAATTGTGTAATTGAAGCCTGGCTCTTTATTATATGTTGAAGGGAAGGGAAGGGAAAGAGAAGGGGAGGGAAGGAGAAGGGAAGGGAAGGAGAAGGGAAGGGAA